ACTAGCCCGGCCTGCTCAGCGGGAGCGGGGCGGGCGCCGCCACCTCAGCCGCCAGGAACCTGTACGGCAGCCAGCACTCTGGTGCGCCCCAGCTGCCGGCCCTCTGCTGCCGTGCCTGCCGCTCGCCCCTCTTGGCTCCCTTTGTGGGTTCGTCAGCAGCCTGTCACGCCCCGCTGCCTCCTTGCTTCGCATGCAAGCCGTTTATAAACCGCCTGCTCGCTGCCCACCTACTGCCGCCCGCCTGTGCAGATGCCGCCCCCATCGCCGCCGCCTTCCTGGCAGCAGCGCCCGGCAGCCCCTCAGCGGCCCCCGGCAGCGCCAGCAGCGCCAGCAGCAGCCTGCTTGTGGTCACTCCTGACGGCCTGCTGACGCGCCACCTGCTGCGGGCGCCGTCACCACAGGACCCGCCCGGCGGCGCAGGCGCCGCCGTCGCTGCTGACGCGCGCGGCAGCGGCACGCCTGGCGGCGGCGCCGCGCTGGGGCTGGACGGGCAGCAGGACGCGGCTGCTGCCGCTGCGGCGGCAGCTGCTGTCCTGGAGGAAGCTGACCGATGGGATGTGGCCCGCGCTGGAAGCTGGCCGGAACGTGAGGAGCTGCTGCCCGCTGCAGCGGCCTCGCAGGAGGCGGCCGCGCCCGCGGCCGGCGCCGCCGACGCACCCACCGCGGAGCAGCAGCAGGTGTGGGTGGCGCAGGCGGAGTGTGGCGCCCTGGCCGCGCCCGGCGGCGCTGCGGCGCCGCTGTGGCAGGACTCCCAGTTCCGCTTCTACGAGCTGCAGATGCAGCAGCTTCAGCGCCAGCCACAGCCGCCCGCCGTGGTAGCGCCGGCGTCGGCCCCAGCGGAGCCACCTCTGCACCAGCCTCGCGCCGACGGCGGTGCCGAGGCGCTGGCTGTGCAGATGGGTTCCGCCTTGCTTGTGGGGAGGGGGGCCGGGGCCGCCGTGTGGGTTGGAACCGTGCCCGTGCGTGGCGGTCAACAGCAACAGTAACGGTAAACCGCGCTCCTTTGGCTTCTTTGGCCAAAATGGGGGCCCTTATGCGTCCCTGGCCAGGCTGCTGTGCCCGGGCTGGCCCGGACATTTGACAACCCCCAATGCAGCGGGCGGCCATTGCTGCCCCCTGCCGTCTACCCCTGTCCCCCCCTTTTTGCATGCGTCTGTGCGTGTCTGTGTGCCCTCTGGCGCTCCAATCCCCCCCTTCCCGGGCCCCAGCAGCGCCCATCATCCCTTCGTGCCCAACATTGCATCCTTCTGACACCCCAGCCAACCGATTCCTACCTCAGCTTATCCTCTTTGCCTCTGCTTCGTGTGAAACAACACCTCTCCCGCCACCCCCTCTGCATGCTGCGCCACTCTGCCAGTGCCCTGTACAACAGACCCCTGTTAATGTAACCGCAGGATGCGCCTGTTTGTGACCCTTGCTGAGCCTTGCTGAGCGGGAAGGAATTGGTTAAAGAACGAGGAATTGGGAAGCCATTATTGGAAGGAATACTGCTTGAGATGAATACTGCTTGAGGTGGACTTGGGGGAAATGGATTGCAGCCATTTCAGAAATGAGTACGGGCAAGGGGTGTGATCAACTCATGAGCCGTGTGTTGGGGCAAGGGGCGCAACGTGCATTTGTTGGATGAAATGGATGGGAGATCAATACTGTGTTGTGTCCACGCGCGTGAATGCTGTATGGCACCGAGGGGACAGACAAGCAAGGAGACGGGCGGTCGCCGTCGAGAGGCGGGTGCACATGGGCGGCACCTCAAAAAGGGCGCAAGCAGGGGCGCTGGCTGCCTGGTGTGCTGGGTGGAGCTCTCAGCAGGACCAAGGGTGAATATGCACAGGTGGCAAAAAAGGGTGAAAAAACACAGGTCCAACGGGGGCCAGTTAGTGCATGGGATGTGTGGTCATCCCGAGTTGGCCAGCAAGAGGAGACGAGGCGCCGGCAAGGGCGGCGAGAAAATGCCGCCGTTCCGACAAGGGAGGAGGCGGTTTATTGCTCAGGCATCGCAATTCAGCACGTGATGTAAGACGTGGGTGATTGAGAAGGGTGGTGGTGACTTGGGGTGAGGTACACAGGGCTGCCGAGAGGCAGAGGGTGGGGGACAGCAGAAAGCTGGGGCCCGGTCCTGGCATGCTGCGGGAGGCGGGACCGCGGCCGAGCGCAGCGGGCCCCTGCGGGGGAGGCATGGAGCCACAGCAGGCAGCGACTGCTGCGGGCTGTGTATGCACGCGCCACCCTGCCACTCGAGGCAGGGCGGCGGCCTGCCCCGCAGGCGGCGGCTCACAGCAGTCGCCCCGTCCAGGCGGCGGCCCATGGGTGGCAGATGGCGGGGTGGTGGGCGGCGCGAGGCGCGGGCCTCAGCAGCCAGTCTGCCAGCAGCCTGAGCTCGACATAGCTGAAGGTGGGCAGCGCCGCCGCCAGCGGACGCAGAACCGAGGTCGCCTCGTGGCGTGGCGCAGCCCCGGCGCCAGCGCCAGGCCCCGAGGCGGACAGCTGCGATGCCGCCGGCGTGCCAGCGGCGCCTGCCTGCGGCGGCGGCGCCGTGCAGCCAAAGGCGGGCGGCGCGCTCTGGAAGGCCGACAGGCCCAGGCGCGGCCGCTTGCGGGAGCGAGCGCCGCCGCCGCCGCTGTCGGCGGTGTCTGCGGTGCTGCGGGCCGCCGCAGCGGCAGCGGTGGCCTGCCCCAGAGGCCCTGCCCTGCCTGGCGCCGCAAGCAGCGCGCCCGGCACCTGAGCGGCTGCCTCTGCCGCGGAGCGGGGGAGCAGCAGGTGTGGGGTGGAGCTGCAGCAGCTGCCGCTCGATTCCGCCGGGCGAGCGGGGCTGGGCGGGTGGTCGCGCGGGGCTGGCGCCGCGGCTGCGGGCGCTGCATAGGGCTGGAACGCGCGCTTGCGGGAGGGCGGGGGCGGCGGGCACGGCCGCGCCACGGCCACCGCCGGGCAAGAGCCGACGGGCTGGCTGTCGCCGCACGGCTGGCGCGAGGCGCGCGGCGACGGCGGAGCGGCCTTGCCGCCTGCCGCCGATTGAGCCAGCTTGGCCACCGCGGCCTGCAGCTGCGCCACAGTCTGCAACCACGCCGGGGGCGCGGGCGGGAGGGAAGGGAGCAGCGGCGGTCAGGCATGTGCCACGTGTGCGGCGCACTCAGGCGGAGGCTGCCTGGTCCGCAAGCACTCCTTGGGGGAGCCTGGCCTGCCTGAGGCTGCCAGCAGGCCGAGGGGGGTGGGCACGCCACACCCACAGATGCAGCATCGCTTCCGCCTCCTCACCTCGAACTGCCAGCAGCCGTCCACTTGCACCACGCCCCAGCCGGGCTGGCCCGGCTCGCTCCACGCCGCCACGCCGCGCTGCTGTAGCTGGCGCAGCTGCCGCTGGCGCAGCTGCCGCTGTGCCGCCGCCGTCAGGGCTGCGTGGCGGCACAGGGCTGCCACCGCCAGCAGCTGTGCGCCGCCGGCTGCCAGGCAAACGCGGATGCCTGCAGGGAGCAGCGCACGGCACAGGGGGCGCGGCGCCGCATCAGCCTCCCAGTAACCAACGGTGGCAGCGCCGTTGTTGCGCGGCAACCACCGACGCGGCCCCGCATTGCCCCACGCCCCTGCCATGCCCTCCCCGACCCCCGCCTGCCGGCATCCCGCCGTGCGTCCCGGCCGCCGGGTGCGCGGCGCTGCCGGCGGGCGGCCCAGCCCAGGCGCTCACCGGCGGGGTCGCCAGCATCCAGGCGGCCGCACCAGGTGCGGTCGACCAGGCCAGTACCGCAGGGGTCGAGGTACGCTCGCAGCCAGCTGTCGCCAATCAAGGGGTCGCCGGGTGCGGCAGTGGCAGCCCCTGACGCCTTGTGCCCGCTGCAGGTGGCGCAGCTGCTGCCGCCGGCGGTGGCGGTGGCGGTGGCGGGCGGCAGGCCGCTGGCGAGCGGTGCTGCCTTGGGGTTGATCGCCGCCGAGTAGCACATCAGGGCAGGAGCTCACAAGGGGGCGGCCCCTTGGATGTCACCAGCTAAGACCAGACGGGGGTGGGCACGAGGGCTCGCAGGGGCAGCGCGCCTGCGTGGCAGCAGGGCGGCGGCGGGGTGGGCAGCGGCGGGGGGTGTAGCGCCGGCGCACGCGCAAGGGAAGGGTAGGCTCCAGCTGCCTGTCGGGGAGGCGGCCGCCCTCCTGCCGCCTATGCACTTGCCTGCTGCCGTGTTTGGTCAGGAGGCGCGCAATTGAGCTGTATACCGCCTTCAGGACAGGTCGTTCAGCCTAAACCCCACACGAGGCTGTGCTACAGGCGAGCTAGATAGCGTGCAAAGGGCACGTGCGAGCAGCACCGGGCTGCAGAGGGTTGCCCAGGGCAATCAAGGATGTCTCAGGCCTCTTGCCTCTGCTGCTGAAAGATGGCGGCAGTGGGGGACTCGGTCTTGCAGGAGAAGTAGCAAATGATAGTGAGTGACTCAGGGCGTGACTCGAGATGTGCTCCTCTTGCGCCCGGTGCGAGCGGCCACACAGCGGGGGGCCTATTCTCCGTCACCGACTGCCGCGCTTGGGTTTTGGCCTTTCTCCAACCAACTCAACTCCCAGCAGTCCCAGAAGGCGTGCGCAGCTTGGATAAATTTTGTGTCCTTTTGCCTTTGCCCCAGCTGCCGCGGTAGGACGACGGCCTCTGTGTGGCAAAACACCGCCTGCCCTTCCCGCTCTCGACTCTGGGCGCATCCAGCGATAACATGGAGCACGCAGCCGCCCTCTGGAAACGTGGGAGCAGCTTGCCAGCAGCTGCCCCGGTCGCCCGCCCGAAAATGACTGCAAGAGCTGGGTTCAGGGGCCCATTCTCAGTGCGGGTCCCACTCCTCCCCTGTGCAGCTGCTCCACATTTGCTTGCCCAGGGGGGTCAGGGATGTAGCATGGAGGCATGGGGCTCGCAGGCAGCGGTCGACACGGCAGTGGCGCCACCGGCGGCGGCGAGCCACCCGGCCCGGCGCGGCAGCCATCACCGCCACTGGCTCAGGCAAGGCTAGATGCATGATTGACGACTGCCACACTAAAGGAACTTCCAAATTCGAATGAGGAGGTGCGAGCGCAGAGCAAGCTCAAAGCAGGATGCACCACACATCGCGCCGCGCCGATGCCGCTTGGGCCACACCTTCTGCGCCGTGCCAGCCCACTTGCCGCCATCCGCGCGCCCGCTTGGCGCACCCCTCTCCGGCCCCGCCTCACTCCCAGCGCTCGTGATGCCGCTGGTGCTGCGCGCGCTGCACAGCCGCACCCCACACCACATACGTGCAGGCCAGCTGAAGCGCCGCCAGCAGCAGCCCCGCCCGCACCAGCAGCCGCTCGCCCCGCTGCTCCTGCAGGTGAAAGAAACCGGGGCGGGGCTGGTGGTGTGCAGGGGCACAGGGAAGGGGTTCAGCAGGCAGTAACGTCAGTGCCCCACACACAAACGCATGGCCACACGGGAGAGGGCGCCACATGCGCCCCGCCGAGGCACGAAGCGTCTGCACAGTGCGCCCGCGTGCCTGCATGCAGTGGCGTGGCATGTCCTCCAGAAGCCCCACGCTGCCGGCATGCCTGCCGGCGCCCTGCAGCATGTGCATGCGGCGATGATGCCATCACCACCAGCACGGGAGGACGTCTTACGAGTAGCGGCAGGAGCCATGGCAGGCGGCCATCGTGCTCGGTTTCCCCCGCCGGCAGCCACCCCCCGCTGCCTGCCACCCCCGCCACCACCCACGCCCCTGCACGCGAGCTGAGACATCAGCAGCCAATCAGGCAGTGCAGCCGGCCCCAGCGCCTCTGCACACACCTGGATTGCCTGCGCCATCAGTGCATCCCACTTGCGGCGCCAGGCCGCCTTCACCTGCGCCCTCCGGCCCGCCACAGCCTTCGCGTGCCGTGTGAGGCCAGCATAGCAGCGGCAGCGCTCCCGCGGGCCCAGTGGCAGCGGCCACGGCGCCGGATGCTGCCAGCACCACGCCCTGCCGCCTGCTGGCCAGCCAGGCCGCGCCAGCGCGCGCCGGCCGGCCGCTAGCGCCGCGCGCTGCCGCCCCCCGGGGCCTCCCCTACCGCCCTCCCACCCACCTCGGCAGCACCATGCACCGGAAGGTCCTCATACCCGCGCCCTCCCCGCTCCTGCGCCTCGGCGGCCGCCTGCTGCCGCGCCAGCGCCTCCTTCACCACAGGCGCCTCCTCCAGTGCGCCCTGCAGCGCCCTGCGGCCAGGATGCCAGGCGAGGCGGGGCAGGCAGGGGCAGGGCGCGCCAGGTCAGCAGCCCCAGGGCTGGCTGTGGGGCCGCCCGCCGCCGTGCCACGAGTGCGCAGCCGTCGGTGTGGCCAGACGGCATCAAGGCGGCACCGGGGCTCCCAGGCAGCCCGGCAAGCCCGGTTCCTGGCGTCCAGCCAGCCGCACCAGCCGCCCCAGGCTCACCAGCCGTGGGCCTGGCGGTCGGGCTGGGCGGGGTCCTGGGCATGCAGGAGGTTGAGGAAGTCTGCGTGGGTGAGGGGCGTACCCTCCCTCCCGAGCACCTGCTCCATCTCCCTGCACAGACAGCAGGGGGGCCGGCACAGGGGCCAGCAGCCGCACAGTGACCCGAGCGGCAGGGTGCCGGGGGCGGGGCGGGCAAGTGGGTGTGGGAGCCCTCACACTCACGGCACGCAGGCCAGCTGCCCGGCCGCCACGAAAAGCCTGCAGGGTCGGCCCCACGTCGCCACACCCCGCAGCACCCGGCCCCGCGGCCGGGCCTCTTTCACAGCAGCAGCAGCAGCAGCGGCAGCAGCGGCACCCCTCGCCTGACGTAGGCGGCCGCGCCCCGCATGCTGCGGTCCAGGCCGCGCACCAGCGCTTCGAACTGCTCCGGGGCCAGCGCCACCCCGCCCTCCAGGTGCTGCCGCAGGCGGCGCTGCATCTGCGCAGCCAGGAGGGCGGCACAGCGCGCGCCGCGTCACATGGTGACAGCCTGTCAACCGGCCGGCGGGCTGCCTGCCGGCAGCATGCATGCCAGGACACAGCCATGCCCCAATGCACAGCCCGACCGCATGGCCCGGGCGGGCGGGCGCCCATAGGCCAATTGCAATCGGCTGGCTGCCTCCATCTCGCCCCAGTCACACAAGCACACAGCACACACGACCATCCTCACCCAAAGCATGCATATACACACACGCCACCAGCACCATGACTACCACCCGCCCCCACCTCCATCACGCTCTTGAACAGCGCCTGGAAGCGCCCCTCCATCTCCCGCCGGTCGCCCTCTGTCAGCCGCCCTGCATGCCCGCCACCCGCAGCCAGCCAGCACACATCAGCGGGGGAGCCAAGGCGCTCCTCTTCTCGCGCGCTGCGCGGCGCTGCATGGTGTCAGCAGGTGCCTGCCGGCCTGCAGGCGAGCAGCGCCCCGCACCTCCCACCACTTCCTTGAGCGCCTGCAGCTTGCCTCCCTCGGCGCTGTGCTCCCACAGCTGGTTCAGCACCTGCGGCAGCCACAGGGAGCCGCCTGAGGGCGCTGGGGACTGCAGTGGGGCGCTGTGGAGCGCTGTGGCCCCCCACAGAGAGCCCGGGCTGCCGCGTGCCGCCTCTGTGATGCCAGCAGCATGCCCGCTGCGGCACACTGCCAGCCTGATGGGTGCAGGCTGTTTGGTATCAAAAGTAATAAGGAAGCAGGCAAATTCAGGGTGCTGTGCCGCCCACCTTGGTGCCGTGGTCCTGCAGCTGGCGCAGGCGGTGCTCCACAAACTGGGCGTCTGCAGCGCGAGCAGCGGGTGGCGGCAGGCTCGCGACGTTTCAAGCTGCGTCCAGGCAGGCTGTAAGGCCGAGCAAGCAAGCTAGCAAGCAGCACCTCAGCAACACGTGGCCACCGGGGCGGGCGAGCGGCCCGGCTGGGGGTGGCCGGCCCCCGCACCTGTCACCCGCCACAGCTCCCGGGCGTGCGCCTTGCGGACCTCGTCCTGCTGCGCGCGCTGTGGTGAGCCCGCCGCGGGCAGCAGGCCGGGATCGGAGTGCAGCAGGCGCAGTGTGCTGTCCAGCGCTCCCTGCATTGGCACACCGATGCATAGAATGGGCAGGGGGCGGCGGGCCGTGGCAGCAGCCCGGGCGCCTGCTCCCTCAACCGCCACGGCGGCAGGAGGCGGCCTCGGCGGCTGCTTGCTGCCGTGGGTGCCTGCGCCCCGCCCCGGGGCCCCTCCCCACACACCAGGCGCAGCTGCACTGCAGACAGCAGCGCGTGGCGGGAGCCTGCTGTGGCCCGCAGCGCCTGCTGCATGCGCTGGTCCATGAGGTTGAGCTCAGCCAGGGCGCAGTCCACGCGGGCCATGCGCGCCACCTGCGCGGCCGCAGGAGGTGCCACCCAGCGGGGGAGGACGCCGTCGAGGGGTGGCGTGACGGGGCCAGGGCGCAGGACCGGGCTGCCGTGCCCGTGCCCCACCCCAGCTGCCGGCTAGGGCAGCTCAGCGGCGATGCCTGCTGCTGCGCCGCGCAGGCCCGACAGCAGCGCCGCCGCACCCCACCTGCGCGATGTAGCCGGCCACGAGGGCGGTGCAGAGCAGGCCTCCCACCAGGTGGCCGCTCAGCTGGCTCAGGTCCCGGAACACGCAGCCGCTCACGCCCAGGCAGGCGGTGACTGCGGCAGGGGGGACGCGGGCAGGGCGGGAGGCGGGGGTAGGGGGAAGCTGGGAGGGCAGGGGGCACATGACGGCACCATGCCAGCGACTTGTGGCAACAGGGCGTGGGCAATAGGCTGCGGGGCCCTGCTTGCCTGTCACGCAGATGCCCAGCAGCAGGCCCAGGGCCTGGGTGGGGCCAGACAGGCACACCAGGGCCGCCAGCGACAGCAGCTGGCCCAGCACCGCCTGCGGGCGAGGTGGCGGCAGCGGCGGCGCCGGCGGCGCGGTCGCGCCGCGACCCAAACCATGATGGCACCAGGCAGGCACCAGGCGGCTGAGCTGCTTCTCCAAGCAACCTTGGCTGCTCCAACCTCTCCAGAGCTGCTGCCTCCCACCAGCCAACCCAGGCGGCCAACTCGTGGCTCCTCGCGGCTCCAAGGCAACCTAGCCTGCAGTTGTGCGCTCGCCTGCGTGGCGCACAGGGCCTGGCCCCAGCGCAGTTGCCAGGAGGAGCTCCTCTTGCTGCCTCGCCCTGCTCTTCCCGACCCGGCACCATCCCTGGCTGCCAGATCCCACGCACGAGGAACCGACACCATGGCTGCCGAAAGCAAGCTGGAGAAGGCCTGGGGGAGACAGCAAGGGAGGAGAGCAGGCAGGTGCGGTACGGCGCAGCACGCGGGCAGGACGCATCCAGGCGGAATGGCTGGCCTCTCCCTCTCCCTTGCATCAATAGCTTGATCGCACATCCTCCATCACCTCCCGCTGCTGTGGCACCTGACAGCCGGCGCTAGGCTCAGCAAAGAGCGGATGGCTTTCCCCGTCGGCGTTCTCGTGTGTGCCAAACAACAACGCTGCCGCCTCGCTGGTGGCCCGCTTGCCTGCCACCCCGATCGAGTCGAGATGGAACCCCAACAATCTATTGCACAAGTGAAGGCATCGATAGGCTGCGCTGTGAGGTGGGAGAGTGTGTGCAGAGTCCTGCAACCAGCGGCGCAGAGCGGCGGCGGCGGCGGCGGCAGCGCGACGGCAACCAAGGCACCGACGGTGTCCTGCTCGGCGGCGGCCGTCGTGATTTTGGTCAGGGTGCTGCGTGGCCTTGGTTTCCTCCGCTCAGCAGGGCTTTGGCACCCTATGTACTGCAGGTGGGGGTCCTTCAGGCCGCGGCCCACAGGCTCGCCAAATTTTGCACCATCGTAGCTACAGCCAGCCAACGCGAGACTGGGGCACCTCGAGGATGCTGCCGGCGCCCAGGCGCTGGCAGCTGCTGGCCTCGCTCCTCGTCCTATCGGCGGCGCTGGGCTGCGCGGCCGCCGCTCCCAGCCGCTCAGAGGGTCGTGATGAGGGGCAGGGCGCTGCGCTGCGGGCAGCAGGGCGAAGGAGGCTGCTAGTGGTGAGGCTCCCGGCAGCTGCCGCCGCATGCGGCGGCACGGCACTGTGCTGGCCGTACGCCTGCCATGCATCTGAACCTATTCAGGCAGAGTGCAGTGCAAAATGTTTGCGGCGCTGCAACTCTGACCTCTTGCTGTGGTCGCTCGGCCTGCTAGCAGGATTCGCCGCCGCCACCCAGCCCGCCGCCTCCCTCGCCGCCGCCACCCAGCCCGCCGCCACCCTCGCCGCCTCCCAGCCCGCCGCCACCCAGCCCACCGCCACCCTCGCCGCCGCCACCTAGCCCACCACCACCCAGCCCCCCCGCCACCCTCGCCGCCGCCACCCTCGCCGCCGCCACCTAGCCCGCCGCCT